TTTTAATAATGATAGGGCTACATAAAAGCGAGAGAGTCGCAGCATTTTTTGTATAAGAAAATGTGAACGAAGACAACTTTTTTTTTACAGGAAAAAGTTTCTACGATAACTTTTTCCTGTAAGAAAAAAAGTTGTCTTCGTTAACATTTTCTTATACAAAAAATGCTAGGTAAGTGCACACTTGCCTTAGAAACGTAAGATCTGTCGTTCAAACCCCACCTCAGGGCAAGTTTTGCGAATCGGTTATAATATAAGTTATTTCTATATTTCTAGAAATTTTCTTTTCAAGGCTGTTTTTATGAAGATCTTAAATTTTCTTTTTTATGAACATCTTAAATTTTCGTTAAGTTAAGAACATCTTTAAGTTAAGTTAAGAACATCTTAAATTTTCGTTCTTAAGTTTTTATGAACATCTTAAATTTTCGTCTAATTCAAGGCCTAAAAAATTTACCGATGATTCTCTTTTAATTATAGCTTTATTTATAATAAGATTTGGTAATTTTAATGGGACGTTTTCAGTTTTATTCAATTTTTGGAACAAAATGAATTTAGTTTTATCAGCATTCAGAGAAAGTTTGTTACTTACAAATCACTCATTAACTTTATCTAGTTGTTCATTAACATGTTTAAAAAGTGTATTAATATCTTTGTGCGAATAAAAGAGATTAGAGTCATCTGCAAATAGAATAAAATTTATAAGATTTGATGATAAATGAAGCTCATTTATGTACAGTAGAAACAACAATGGCCCTAGAATAGAACCTTGTGGAACCCCACAAGTTATTGAGTGTTTAACTGTTTCTTTTGAATCGTAGCATATGAATTGTTTTCTGTTTGTTAAATAATTTTTAAACCAAAGTAAATTTTTATTTTTAATGCCATAGTGTTCAAGTTTACTCAGCAGTATATCATGATTTTCTGTATCAAAGGCTTTGGACAGATCGATGAAAACTCCTAATGTAAAATAATCGTTGTTTATTTCGTTTACAAACTCGACTACTGCGTGTTCAGTTGAATGCTTTTTTCTGAAATCGAACTGTTTTTTATACAAGATATCGTTTTTTGTCAGATCATCAAAAAACCTGTTGTACAAGTACATACGCTCAAGTTTCTTTGAGAAACAAGGCAAGATTGAAATCGGTCTGTAGTTTGAAATGTTGGAGTCATCTTCACTCTTAAATATTGGTGTGATTCGGGCAATTTTTAACTTATCCGGAACAACACCTGATTTTAAAGAAAGTTTAAAGATATGTAATAAAGATGTTTCAATGACATCAAGTACAGATATTACAACGTTAGCGCTAACTTGATCAAAACCTGCGCTTTTATTTTTTTTAAGGCTATTAAAAGCATATTGCACTTCGCAAACTTTAAGATTAGATTCATCCATATGCGTATTGTATTTTTTTAAATAAAAATCAATACTTGTTGAGCTCAGCGGAATTATTTTAGCTAAGTTCGGCCAAATATTGGCAAAGAAGCTGACAAGATTCTCAGCAATAGAAGATTTTTGATAAACTAGCTTTTTAATAATCAAAATTTTTGGAAGAATATTTTTAATACTTTTGTTTTTTCCAATTATTTAATTAACAACATGCCAAGTTTTTTTCGTGTTTTCATTTGTTTTTTCTAATAACTTTGCGTAATATATTTTTTTAGAGTGTTTTTTGGTTTTTTCAAATAGATTTTTATAAATTTAGTATGTTGTCTTATTTTTATAGGTTTTTTAAAAAGAATTTATCATAAAGTTTTTGTTTTATTTTTGAAGATTTTAATAAAAAACTTATAGCGTTGAAATGTGGCTTGTAGCGTTGAAATATACCAGAAAATTAAAAGTGAAACGGTAAATTAAGGTGGTATACCCCTTAGAAATATCAAGTTTTTCAAAAAAAAAAAATTGTTTTTTTATTTTATTTAAAATTTATTATAGAATCATTTTCTGAAAACTATTTCTTAAAATTCAGTATATATATTGAGGAAAACAATTTTTACTGAACCTTACTTTTTTAAGTGCCCTTGACAACCTCCATAGCAACGGTTGAATTTATATTTGGCCAAGAAATTCTCCCCAAATATAATTTTTAATTCTGAGAAAAGCTTGTTGAAATGAGTTTATAATTTATTTCTATTTTCCATTAATCAAAATATCTGTAAGATTAAAAGCAATAACTGGATTTCTCATAAATTTCTTCCAGAAGTTTCTTTAAAACGAATTGTCATCTTAAAGTTATGTATATCTCTATGCATCTGTTTATGTTTATATAAATTAAATCTTATACTTTTAATGGGTAAAGAACGTGTAAAATTCGCTACTCAATACAAAAAGAAAAAAAGATTTTATGGAAATCAATATACTTTAAATAAAACAAATTCGACAAATACTAGTCTTCTACCTTCTACAGATTCACAGAGCTCAATAAATCCCTAAATCTTACTCCGAGGTAAACAATACTAATACTTCTGCAAGTTCTAGTAAAAAAATCATATGTGGATACATAATAATTTGATAGCACTTTATTAGCCATTGTTGTTCAGTTGTTATGTTGTCCAGAATGTAAAATTTGTCGACTTAGTTTAGCTAAAAATGCGAAAATAAATTTGGACTTTCCAGCTCATTGATTATATTCTGTAAATGTGGATTCAATCATAGTTTTTTACATCCAAAAAGTGTGGTTCTGAAAGTGTTAGAGCTTTTGATATTAACCAAAGGTAATGTGGACAAGGCCATACTGGTCTTAAAAGATTCTGTTATCTTATGGATCTTCCACCGCCAATGACTAAAAATACTTATACTAAAATTGTTCGAAAATTTGCAATTAAAGTTGAAGCAATCACGCTAGAAACCATGTCTGATGCTGCAACTAAAGTTATAAAAGCATCCCAATATACTACTGATAAATCCAATTAAATAAATAACAGTGTTTTTTGTGATGGTACTTGGCAACATCAAGGTCTTTCCTCATAAAACGGTGTTTATACTGGAATATCTATGATTACAGGAAAAGTTTTGGATTGTGAAGTATTATTCAAATATTGCAAACAATGTTTTTTAATTATAAAGAAAAAAAATACAAACCCTAATGCATATAAAATTCTAAAAAATACTCATTTTTGTAACCTCAACTATATTGGCCCATCCACCGGTATGGAGGTCGCTAGAGCTAAATCAATTTTTGAACAATCTATTGTAAAGTATAAACTTTGCTATACTGAATTTTGCGGTGACGGAAATAGTAAGACATTTTCATTTGTTGAAAGAGTGCATGGTGATACATTAGTTTCATAATAATAATGTGTTGGTCATGTGCAAAACGGAGTTGACACACGATTAAGAAAACTGAAAAAGAAAGTTGTCTAGGTGGTAAAGGAAGACTTACTGATGCAACAATTAACAGATTGCAAAACTATTATGGAATTGCTAAAATCAGTCTGTTCATAAAATTCGTAGTGCAATACTTGCTTCATTGTTTCAAGTTGCTTCCTCAAAAGAAAATAATTATTACACCTATTGTCCATACGGTGAAAAAATTTGGTGCCAGCACAATGTTGATCAAAAAATCCCAATCAACCTTCTCTCTATAAACCTGGCCCCGGTTATAAACCTGGTTTGCCACGTGATATTATTGAGTTACTAAAGCCAATTTATAAAGACGTTAGCTTAAATGAATTGCTTGCAATTCATGTCAAAAAATCAGAACCAAAATGAGAGTCTTAACATGATGATATGGGACGAGCTCCAAATTCTGTTCATTTTTACATTTGAAATTTTCAACATATGATGCTATTGCAACATATGATGCTATTGCAAACTTTAATATTAGAAGAAAAGCATCAGTGATGACTTATGAAAAACTCAATATGATTCCAGGAACATTTACGATAGATGGCTGCAATAGAGAAAATAAAATACGTTTGTATCAATCGTCGTACAAAAATAAATCCAATGTAAAGTTGCATAGAAAAACAATCAAGGGCAATAAAAAGAACAAAAATGATAAGGAAAAGCACAAACAAAGCTACTGGTAGCTTTTAAACATTTTGCTCTTAAATTTACATACATTGTTTATTTTTTGCATATTTTTCTCTTTTTTAATTTTTAAAGTCTTTTTTTGCTAAGGGGTCGTCCATTAAGTACGTACGCTTTTTTTTCATCGACACCCCTCCTCCCATTTTACAATAAGCTTTTTTGAGTACCCTCCACCTCCCTAAAAGTACCTACGCTTTTAACCTATTTATCTAATATTTTATGATATTTTTTTAATTTAGTGTCTCCTTTCTTTTATAATTGACCCATTACCCTCCCATCTCATATACACCATTTGCAGACCGCTTCTTTCCTTCCGAGCGTACTTTATGGACGACCCTAACTTCTATTTTTCAATCTCTCGTCACAGTTATTTCATTTTCTAGTGATCAGCTTTTAACCAAATTTTCAGCCATGATGTGTTTTTATATGTTGTATGGAATCTGCCAAAAGTAAATTGTAGAACATTTCAGAATTTGAGATATTACTGTTTTAGCACTAAAAAAGAAATTTCATTGGCCTAATTTTAATTTTGACTATAAGATTTCACTTCCAAGATAATTTTGAAGGGAGATTTTATACCACCTTAAGACTCCAATCATCGTTTGAAATCAAAATCTTGGAATTAAAATTTAAAAGGGTCTTATATCCTGGAAAAATAATACTTTGAAGTCTTAATTTTCTGAGTCTTATTGTTATCTTGCTTAGAAAACAAGTCGAACGAAAGTCCATTGTTTATTAAAACGTGACAACTGAGATTCTTTTTTTACTTGTTGCAACTAAAAAACACGTTTTTAAAACTAAAAAAAATATTTTTACGGCCGAATATTAAATTGATTGAAAAAGTAAGATTTTATTTTAATTAAATTTATGAAACTTTTCTGGTTTAAAAAGCGAATACGTTCATTTGACCGATCATTTCCTTTACTTTTTGATCAAAATTTTTGTTGTTAGCTCAATAAAAAATTACAACTCGTCAAGCCATTTTTTTATTTCAATAAAAATAATCATATTTAAAGTTTATATTAAATCGTCGACACTATCGTGTCGATACTGTCGTGCTTACTCGACTAATTTGCGAATTCCTGAAGTACTACCAACTAATTTTAAGAGCTTAAAAAGATTTATGGAATACATTTATAAAAATTAGCCTTTATTTTTTTTTATTCAACTTAATTAATCATTTTACTTTTTGATAAATTTGAGGTTTGTAAAGGACATTTAGTCAAATGTATCGACATAAGCGCAACAACATTTTTGAGACAAAAATCCAAAATTCTGCAGTTATAATAAAATATAATTTTATTTCGTTTATCCAATTAACATTGTTCAAGATAAAAAATATATTTTTTTCACAAAATAATTTATCTAATAATCTGTCATATTCAAAAAAATATGTATATATAAAAACTTTAGAGAAACAGTATTTGTTTAGTAAGATTGATTTTGTTCAAAAAGATTTTTATCGCGTATGAATAATTTGTAATTGAATTGTGTATGAATTATGTATTAAGTATATTATTGAAATATTATTGTTTATGAATAACTTGTATCGTATATGAATAAATTTTATCGTATATGAATAAATTTTATCGTAAATGAATAAATTTTCGTCGCGTATACATTTTTTTATTACTGTTTCTAGAAAAGATAACTATCGACTGTTAAAATTTTACATGGTCACACACAAAAAAAATGTTCTAGAATAACACTAAATATAATGTATTTATTCCAATCAAAAAACTATAAAATATTTTAAGAAGATATCAAGTATTTTAAAAAACAAAACAAAAAAATACTTTAGTGATGAAGCGATGAAACAAATGCCATGGCAAACAATCCACAAAACAAAGCTGTTATTTGCAGCAAAGAGGCGCTAAAATTTAAAATTTAAATATATACCAAATTTTAACTTAATTTACCCCATTAAAAAAATGCATACACTTATGTCCATAATTATTCAAATGGTTATACTTTTCAATATAGTATGTTTTAACATATGTTCAACGGTTTTTCTGCGGACAAACAACCATCTCTTGAAACCAAAGATTTAAAACTTAATCATTTTTATTATTTTTATCAAAGCATTTTAATCGAAATACTTTTGTATTTATTAAATTATCTAATGCAAAAATATACATTAAAAATTATTAAATTAAAGCATTTTAAAAATAAAATTCGAATGCAATTCGAATAATTATGGAGAATAGTGTAAATATCTCGCAAGAAAAATACTGTACCGAAGCGATTCTTCTTTTTGGAGATCAGGTACAATAGTTACCATGGCAATGTAAAGAAAACCGCCAGATGTAAAAGGCAAAACCCAAGCTGAAGAGTCACCTGCATGCAACCAAAATAAATTCGATACAAATTAACACATAAACTACAAATTTTTTAAAGAAATTTTTTTAAGGTAAAAGAAAAAAACGAACCTGCTTCTTCAGCAAACAAGCCGAATACACAACCAAAAACTGCTCCTGATGCTGTCAAAAACTAAATAAAAGTAAAGTTGTAAACAAAAGCTAAAAAACAATTAACCTGTTTGCTGCCAACTACGAGTATACTCGCAGTAAGCGGTTACCTTATAATTGCCAACTACGAGAAAATCGTAGAAAGCTGGCATCATGAATTTGCCAACTTCAAGTAAACTAGTGGTTCTCCTAACTTATTTCAAACATTTGAACTGGATTGACTATGCTATAACATATAAATTCTTTTGTTTTAGCTTCACACTTGATTCTCAGAGTTTTAGCTTCACACTTGATTTGCAGAGTTTTAGCTTCACACTTGATTCTCAGAGTTTTAGCTTCACACTTGATTCTCAGAATTTTAGTTTCACACTTGATTCGCAGAATAAATTACAAACAAGTTTGTAATTTAAAATTACCCAGAAATCTAAAAATGGACAAAGATAGATAAAAGTTTAAAACAGATAGAAAAAGGAATGTATACATATTTTTTTAATTTTGATAAATTTAGTGTAAATAGTGCCTTCAATAATGTTGTAACTCTCTCTAAACCTTAGGAAAAAAATCTTTGATCTAATCCCTATTTTCAACTGAGGCAGCTAGCATTTAAACAAATATATCGAAAAAATGAAGAGCAACTTTTTTATACCAACTGTCTTTTTTAAGCAGTCATATCATGATATTATTTGATCAAACCGATCTACTCGTGACTTAATCTTGAATAATGTTTGTTTTCTTCTTCCTTCTTCTATTCTTCACTTCAACCATCTTTAATAAATTCAAACTGCCAATCGTTAGCAAATCTCTTTTATCTTTCCATTTAGCAACCACTACACCTTCCTTGCTTTTGCTTATGACACCTACCTGTTTCAGTTTAACTTTTGTACATTCTTTTGCATTTGACTTACGTTCACTACTCAACCCACCAAATATATATGGTTTTTTAACTTGTGTGCTTTGGTAATTTGAAGGAAATGTTGGAGCTATTGGTATACAGGTTATAATAATTTCTCATAAAGACAAACTATATTTACTTTTAAAATAGTGTAACATAATGATCAATATAGTGTCTAAAAAATTCACAGTGAACTAAAAATGTTTTCTAATAATGATATAGTTATTAAATATAACTCAGATCCTAGTCTGAAACAGTTCAGAATTAAAAAAAAAAAGAAATAAATTACCATTCCTAGTCATGATTACTTCCAAGCATGTGCAAAAAAATCAAAGTATTAGTCTAAATCCATCAAATAAGCTACATTGCTATACAATTGCAATGAATTTTGTTCTAAAATGCCTACGAGTATACTTGTACTTTGGCACTGAAGAGAACAATTTCTACTCCAGTACCAAAAGATGAGTATACTCATAGTGCTTATTTTTTATCCATATTATTTATTATTTTACTTATTTTTTGTTTTTTATTATTCGGCATCAAAAATGCCTTTATCTAGCCTTGGTTATGAGAATGAAACCACACAGCCTTGGCAGAAATCTATCATCTCCTGACTAAAAACAACTCTGCAACAAGCGAGTTAAATTTTTAAAAAATCCTTATACATTTTGTTTATCTATTTTTTATCGTTATCTATTTTTTATTGTTATCCATTTTTTATTGTTTTCTATATAATGAACGCATCATTAAAAGTGTTTATTATATAGAAAACAATAAAAGAGCATTCATTAAAAGCATATTTGCTTTAATTAAGCTAGCCTACATACAAAATATATTTCTTGTATATATTTCAAATATATTTAACCACGTAATGTGGTTTAACCTGATTTGAAATTTTAGTGCCACTATTATTATATATTGTTCAATAAGCAAATTCAACTTTTTTATCAGAATTATATATGAAATTCCTTGTAAACATTAAAAATATGTAGAAAACATACATTAAAGTTATTTAAGTAAGACAAGTGTTAATAACACATTTTAATGACACAAGCATATATCAATCATTTTGTAAAATACAAAACTTTTAATTTTACATAAAATTGCTGATAAAAAAATTAACTATTGCTTGGTTTTTTTTTCAATATTTCAAGTTTTTAGTTTATTACTTGCTGACTTAATTGTTAATTGCAAAACTGTTAATATGTATTCAAAAAATAAAATAAAACCTTTTTTATTCATTTAGTTATAGACAAAACATGATTGAGTCAAATGTTGAGAAAAGGAAGAAGTATTTTTATATTATAAATCTAAGAATTCTGGAATCTAAGGTTTATACAAGGTGGGTTAGCCCAGTTAGCTGGGCTGGCTCATTTAAATGGCTCAATTAAACTTGCCATGTTTAATATTTAGCTATGAAAATTTAACTTGTTTACATGATAAATGGGCTAGCCCAGATAGCTGAGATCTTGCTTAACTTCAGAGGGATCCACTCAGGTGATTTTTTTTCCATATAGACATAAACAAGTGAGCCAGACCTGGTCATGAATGTAGCTGATTAGACAAAATAAATCATGCCATTTCTTTTATTTAAAGTCTCATTCTCAATTGTTTTTAAAACAACCAATTAAATAAAAATAAAAATGCTTAATTAAAATTCAAATTAAATTGTGAAACATTAATTTTTTAATGTTTTTATTTTTTTAATCAACCTGGTTAACCTGCTCAGCCTGAAATGTTAAATATAAACAGCTCCTAAGTAAACATTCGACAACATTATTACATATTAATATTTCTACATTATTTTGAGTTAATTATTTAATTAAACTAGTTTCGCGGTAATTTAGTAAACTGTGGTAGTTCAAAAAAGTTAACGAAGATAAATGTAAAAAGCAAATAAAAAAAGCTCTATTATGTCAAAAACTCTGTTGAGCAAATGTATTAATATTTTTTATTCATCAGAAGGCCTGCAACTAACTTAAAAATTTCTACATGTACAATATATTTAAACTATCAAAACTTTCTAAGGGTGTATAAAAAAGTTTTACAAAAGGATACTGTATCCCTTAAAAATAAAACTTACTTGTATGGAAATATTAGTGTACAAACAGTATGCAAAGAATAATAAAAAAAAAAATGTTGGTTTTGATTTTTTTATAAAAAAAAACTAAACACCAATGATCATGATCTAGAAGGCCTCAAAATAACAAGCTTAGTTATTAGGTTAAGTTAAGATTTTTCATTTTGAAATTTAGTCATAAACTCAATAACATCAAAAATACACAGAGTGTAAATAGCCAAATGGATTAAAAGATTTTATAAAGGCATGTAATTGATTCATATGCAGTTCAAAGACAAACATGCAAAGCTCAGGTGGACAGTTGAAGATTGGGGATTGGATTTTTATTCCTGGTTATGGAGCTCTAAAATGTTGAGAGACTTACAGATTACTTTATAAAAAAAAATCCTAACCCTTAGGATGCAGTAACTTATCAATTTTTCAAACTTTTCTTTTTTATGTTGTTTGTTCGGAAAAGTATTTTAATTAAAGTAGACATTTTAAAAATTAAGCAGAATATATTTGTACTGAGCTAACATATACATTTGGTATTATACTTAAAAGTATATTATTTAAAGCTATTATGATTAAATATAATTTTTATATTCCTTGGTAAAAGTTTTAATGAAATAAGTTTCATCATGACAGTATTGACACAAAATAACTAGGTTCGATGAATACTACTTTTTGTTATTTGTCCGTCAGGTCAAATGAAGCCAACTTTAAAATTAAGATGTGTACTTTTTTGACCACAAGTATCAACAAGAAATTCTTTTCTTTAAAGTTCATTTATTTACTTTTGAATTTGATTAAAGTAGTAATAGCACATTTATTAAGCTCATTTTTATATATTTTTTAATTTTTTGCATATTACAATAAATATTTTTATCCTGTATTTGTATTACCTAGAATAATATTATTTTATGCAATATAAGTTAAACTATAAAGAATTTTATAAAGTAAAAGCAAAATAAATTGCACTTACTTGACCTTTAGCAGCATCCCAGCGTGTGAAGCCAGCATTAAGTAAAATAGCAAAGTCTCCTATTTCATGAGGAATTTCATGCAAAAGAATCGCAAGCGTAGTGCACAAACCAACCTACTCATGAAAAAATACAATTACAAGTATAGTGTACAGACCAACCTATTCATATATAAAATTTTTTTTTTTTATATATGAATAGGTTAAAAAGATCTTAAAAGAAGTTGAAATATTTTTATTTTAACCCTTTTAAGGCAGGAAAAAAAGTTTAAAAAATATTTAACTGGGATATATTAATTAAAGGGAACACTAAGTGCTGAGACAAGTTGTGTTTATACTAAAGAGAATGTTTTAAAAAAATGTCAGAATTTTTTTAATTTAAACAAAATAATAAACCAAAATATATCATGAAAAACTAATTTTATTGTTTTAGTCGAAGCTCGTATTCTCCATTTTAGTCAGAAATATGAACTTGAAAATATACATTCTTTTTTTGACGCAATCTACAGACTACAATTTATTCAAGCAAGTTTAATTCTGAAGAGTTTAAGTGTATGACATCATTGTAGAATTTTGATAAGAAATCTAGAAATTCCTTCTTTTTTTTTAATTTTTTTCTTCATAAATTACATAAATTAAAATTTGTTTAGTTATTTTATTTTCTAGTTTAAGTAAAATTTACATTAAAAATATTAATAAATACTTTTCATTTTTTTGTAATGTTGTCATTTTTATACTGAAACTCTCAAGAATTAAACACACTTGAATAAATTGTAAAGTCTGTAGATTGTGTCAAAAAAATGTGTATATTTTGAAGACTTAAAATTCTGACTAAAATAAAAATTTTCATTTTTCGTTTTAATCAAAAAAATACAGCCCAAATACTTTTTTAAAACATTCTTTTTAATATAAACACAACTTGTTTTGGCACTTGGGAATCCCTTTAAGATTTAGTAATAAATTTTTTTTTTTTTTTTTGATCTATCTTTGAGTAAACACATTTTCTCTGTTATTGTTTCTTATAAAGGCAATAAATACCTTGAATCAAAAACTGAATAATTTTATTTAAGGGATTCTTTTATTGACAAATAATAAAGATTATATACCCTGTTTTTTTGGCTTTAGAGTTTTTAACAATTGCACTAATAAGCTTTTTCACTGCAAATCTTTAAAAAAAAGAAATATAAAAACATGTTTAAAAGGGCTACAATTAAAATCACCTCTTCTCAGAATATTGCCTTTTGTTAAGTGTTTATATATATTCTTAATACTTAAGTAAAGGAACAGATGTGATGAAAATAAAAACATATACTTTGTGATCCCTGTAAAGATAATCATCCCATAAATAGTGTTATGAGCAGTGTTATGAGAATAGCTTTAACATTGTTAAACTGTTAACAGTTTAACAATGTTAAAGCTATTCTCTTAACAATGTTAAATTTTTAGCTTTAAAATTTAAAAGCTATTCTAATAACAATGTTAAATTTTTAGCTTTAAAATTTAAAAGCTATTCTCATAACAATATTAAATTTTTAGCTTTAATATTGTTAAACTGTTAACAGTTAATAATGTTAAAGCTAACAATGTTAAAGTTAACAATGTTAAAGTTAACAATGTTAAAGTTAACAATGTTAAAGTTAACAATGTTAAAGTTAACAATGTTAAAGTTAACAATGTTAAAGTTAACAATGTTAAAGTTAACAATGTTAAAGTTAACAATGTTAAAGTTAACAATGTTAAAGTTAACAATGTTAAAGTTAACAATGTTCAAGTTAACAATGTTAAAGTTAACAATGTTCAAGTTAACAATGTTAAAGTTAACAATGTTAAAGTTAACAATGGCCCTATCCTATAAAGCGAATTTACCATGTAAATTTTTACAATGTAGCTACATTGTTTACATTGTAAAATTACGCAGTCCTATAAAAAGTTTACGGCGATTTTTTGTTTACAATTTTACATTTATGTAAACTACAATTTTACACTGCCCGAAAGGTGTGTAAAATTGTAATTAATATTGAATTTTATTGAGTTAAAAATGTAAAAATGTATCAAAGATATTGAAAATTAGTAAAGTAGTAAAAATAATTAATATTTTGTTTTTGGTTTAATTGTTGGGAACTTTCGCAATCTATAAAGCTATTTTAAAAACAAAAGATTTCTTTAAATCTGCAAACAACATTCAACATTTTGCTAAGTCTCTTAGTAAGAGAGTTGCTTAAAATACATATACGAATTTTTTATTTGAATTCGAAGCATCTTATAGATTCTTTAATATACAGAAATTCTAAGCCTTTGTTTCTTGAGTATTTGTTAAAGAAATACTTAGGAGAGATACTTAGACAAAAAATAACACATTAATTATTTATTTTCTTGTTAGAGTAACTTCAGAGTGCACTTCAAAGTAATACAAATTATAATAAAAAATTAAATTTTTTTGTATTGTGTAAGGTTATTAAATTCTGCTTTTGGTTTTTTCATAATTGTATGAAAAAATATTCAAAGTTGCCAAGAATTTATACCACAAGGAAGTAAAGCTATAATTAAACCCAAGATGACTTTTTTTTAAATTTAAACGCAAATTTAGCAGTAATTACAATAAAAAATGACACTATAAAACAAATTTTTGTTGTTGAAATACACTAATATTTTTTTAATTAGCCCTGTAAAATGAACAGGTCTGAGTCAGATCTTGATGATCTTATAGAATTTCAAAAAAGATTTACTGACAGAACACCTCGACAGGTAAAAACCAACTTTTTTTTTTTAACAATATGTTTTTAGATTTTTAATTGTTAATTACAAAGTTTAATTTTTTAGTAAAAATTCAGTGATCTAATATATATATATATATATATATATATATATATATATATATATATATATATATATATATATATATATATATATATATATATATATATATATATATATATATATATATATTAAAACATAAAATAGTTTCAAGAATGCAAGTTTCAAGAGAATATCTCTGAATCTGTCATTTGTGAGCGGTACCGAGTTGTTTCAGTTTTAAATAACCTTGAAGAAATGCTCAAAGATGACCTGCATCATCCAACTCAGAGAAACAAAAAGTTATCCCCACGAGATCAAATTAAAATATTTCTACATTTTCTAGGTAAGTTTTATTATTTTTAATGATGACTTGACTTTACCGGTTTAAATTTTTAACTGAAAGTTTATTTATCGTTTTTGACAAGGCTGAAAACATTCTTTTGTTTTACACTGGTGGGTTTTTGTGTGGTTGGAAATAATCCTCATTTTCTAATAGTATTTTAAATAGTTTAAAAATTGACTTTCTAAATTTCAGGAACTGCATCATTCTATCATGTTGAGCGAGATTGTCATGGCGTTGGAAAAGACACTGCTGATCGAGCAATTTATGCAGTCCTGGATAGTTTGTTTTGTAGGCGAGAGGAAGTTGTTCATTGGCCTGATCCTGTTGACAGCCTACCCAGTAAGTTCTACACTGTGGCACAAATTCCAAGTGTGTGTGGTTGCATTGACGGTAGTCACATACCAATCATTCCTCCATCAAAAGATGAAGATGCATTCTTTAATCGCCACCAGTTTCATTCCTTGAATATTCTTTGCTTTAGTGGCCCAGATTTGCTGTAACTGAAAGATTTTATCGTGCATTAGATGGAGGCGGTGAGGCTAGGGCTATTGCTCTCGACATATCTAAAGCGTTCGACAAAGTTTGGCATACTGGTCTTCTCCATAAGCTTGCTTCATATGGTGTTTCTGGGAAAGTTTTTGAGATTATCAAATCATTTCTTTCTGACCGGTTTATTAAAGTCATCCTTAAAGGCCAACACTCTTCTTTATTTCCAGTAACATCTGGGGTTCCCCAAGGTTCCATCCTGGGCCCTGTTTTGTTTCTTATCTACATAAACGATCTTCCTAACAACCTTTCATCTAAAGTAGCTCTTTTTGCTGATGACTCAACTTTATACTCCTGTCTTGACAAAAAGTCTTCTCTTTTCGATCGCCTAGAACAAGCAGCTGATCTTGAATCTGATCTCACTTCGGTGGTAGATTGGGGTTCACAGTGGCTTGTGAGTTTCAACTCTAAAAAAACCCAATTGCTTACTGCAAACAACTACCGTAATATGGTCAACATTCCTATATTAATGAATGGCAATCCTCTTACTGAGTCGTCCTCTTTACGTCTTCTTGGATTATCGCTTACTACTGACTTTTCATGGAAACCATATATACAATCGATTGCTAAATTAGCTTCTGCTAAGGTTGCTTCTCTTTATCGTGCTCGCCATTTCCTTACTTCTGATTCCATTCTCTACCTCTACAAATCTCTTATTCGTCCCTGTATGGAATACTGTTGTCATATTTGGGCTGGTTCTTCTAACGATTCACTTTCTCTTCTTGACAAGGTCCAAAAACGCATTGTAAATGTTGTTGGACCTGGACTATCTGCTAAGCTTGAACCTCTTTCCCATCGTCGTAAAGTTGCATCTCTTTCTCTTTTCTACAGATACTATCATGGTCACTGCTCAAAGGAGTTATCATCTCTAGTTCCATCAACTAAAACAAAGGAGTTATCATCTCTAGTTCCATCAACTTCTCGTTTTACTCGTCATTCAGCTAAGTCTCATTCGTTTTGTATCTGTCCCTGCATGCTCTAAAAACTTTTATTCATCTAGTTTTTTTCCCTGCACTTCAATCCTTTGGAACTCTCTCCCATCTTCATGTTTTCCTGACTCATACAACCTTCAACTTTTCAAGTCTTCTGTCAACCGTTTCCTTGCTCTATAACTCTGTTCTTTTTTTTCTTCCTAGTAACTCCCAACTTAATAGTGGTTGCTTGCAGCCTTGTTGGGAGTGAATGCAAATAAAAAAAAAAAAAAAAAAAGATTTGTTTATTTATTAGGTTTACACTTATGGCCCTGGGCGACGGCATGATTCTAGGGTAGGTTTTAATTTCACTGAATTTGTAAAAAATGAATTTAAGCTAATTCATCAATTATTTAAATAACAATGCTTTTTAAAATAAACATAAAAGTAAAAAACTAATGTACCATATTAAGCTATATTAAGACTTGTTTCTTATCTAAATCTGGTCTGTCAAAATATCAAAAAATTTTTTGTTTTAAAAAAAGTTAAAACTTATGAAACAAACGTATACTCTACAAAAGTATTATATTTTCTCCACTGCCTATTTATTTTTAGAATATTTGGTACAATAATAACTAGCTAGTCTGAAAATTTAGATTGCTTTTTTAAAAATTTTAGGTGTTACGTGAATCAACACTTTGGGACGCTTTTGAAGTTCGAGATGAGCAAATTTTTCCAATAGCAGTTATCTTAGGTGATCAAGGCTATCCCTGTAATAATTGGCTCATAACGCCTTACAGTGACAATCAAATAGCTTCCAAGCGTCGGTTCAATGATGCACATCGAAAAACTAGAAATGTGATAGAGCGATGTTTTGGGATTTTGAAACATAGGTTTTACTCTCTACAAATTCCAATTTGATTTCGTAAAGTGGAAAATGCAGCAAAACTAATCGTTTGTGCTTGTATGATTCACAACATGTGCATTAAAGTGGGAGATGAGGGAGAAAATCTTTCAGTAACACCATCCACAGCCTTGTCCTTTCAAGCTAGAGACGACACTAAAGATAAAGTTCAAACAGGTGCACGCCGCGATCAAATTTTGCAGTTGTTCAACTAATGTAAATTAAAAAAATGTATTTCAGTCAGACTAAAATTTTTTGTTTTTTCCTAGTTTATTATTTTCTGCTTTTTCTGAATAAATTATGAATAGTTTGCTTGATTTGAATAAAAAATTTTGTATTTACTTATATTATACTGTTTAGATAAATGAGATATGTCGGAATTAAGGGATGTTGACATTAGCTTAAATGATAGTAACTATTGAAATCAATATAAAATATTCTCTAACCATTAGCAGCTCTGTAGTTTTGCAAATTTATTTAATGTTAAGTTAACTCATAGAACTTTATAATAAAATATAAAAAATTTTCAAGCAATTTTGCCGCGGCACTTAAACTTTCGAATAAAGAAAACGTTTCTAAACTTGGAATTTTTTTTTTAATAATTATATTTTATCTATGGTTCTGACTGACAAAGAATATTTGGCTCGAATGTTTCAACATTTTAAGGCATTAGAGACTGGATCTGAGTCTGGAGAAGTTATTGCTTAAGAATAATTTTTTCCATTTTGGCCTTGAATCGAGTTTTCTCCATCAGACGGCGTTCAGCCCTGTACTCAGTCTCTTCTTTTAGCATGTCCAGCTCCTGCTTTATTTTAGCTTAATTTAATGGACCGTTCTCATTATCCGAAAAGATGTTAGTTGATGACGATGTTGATCGTTTTGTAGAAACCTAAACAAATTTTACCGATAAGTTTAACAAAAAACGGAGACTTTAATGTTTCATAGCATTTAAAATTTCAAATAAATCAAATTTTGCTTGCTTTTGATAGTATCAATTAATGTTAAGTATTTTAAAAATCACAAAGTTACACTAATATTTAGTGACTACTTGACAAAATCTAGCTAAATTATTAATTGGCTTGGCACATAGGAAGAAAGAGTAATGCATACTTATGACAGAGTTTTAACAATTCTTATAGAATAAACTTCTTACAGAACGTTTAATAGAGCTTTTCAAGATAACTGGTATATTCTGGGCAATTGATTTTGCAGCAAAAGACTTTGGAACTGTTTCGACAGACATTTTAATGAAGAATTTTAGGCTAGGGACTAGATTAAATGGTGATTCTTTTCCGATGATGTCCATCACAGTGCATTCATAGTTAGAAAGTTGGCTACCTTTAGCACCAGATTTATTAAGTTTTTTGAAATTATCCACGGTTGATCTCCTCAGGTTTTGCCACTCACTTGTCCAAATATGTTCAACAGTGACAGTAGAAGAAAGACCATGAGCTACAAGAAGTTTCTACTTTCTTGCCATTTTTCTTTCCGATCTTGATTGCTACAAGTCAGAGAGAGAACCCTAACTAAGCCATAACAGTTTTCTGTTCTTTTGTTAGCATTTGCATAAAAATATTAGTTTTCTTATTAATTTTTTTGTTTTGTTTTTTATGTAATTATTGTATAGAAAACAATCTCTTTTTATAGAATTACAAGATTGCTAAATTATGCTTTTGGTTTTTCAGAATTATTTTTAAAATTATTCAGAAGAAAAAATTTATGCAACAAGGAAGTCAAGCTATATTTAAAACCAAGATCTATTTTAAAAAAGCAAATCACTCAGTAGCTATCCTTTTTCAACGGGTCTGAGGGTAAGTATAATTAATGTTCCAAACATAATTAATGTCCCAAACACGAAGAATCAGAACAGCATATTATTCATTCCATCCACTAATTTTAATTAGGTTCCGGTAACCCCTAAGCTAGCATTGTATTATTCTTGTTTATCCTATGATTTTTATCTTATTTATCTGTAGGGTAAATTAAACTATAGTTTTTAAATTATTTAAGAATTTAAAAAATAAATTTGTAGAAAAAACCAAAACATTTAAACGTTTTTATCATTAAACAAACCATGTAAATTTATTTGAAAAATTAGTTGTCATTAATTTTTTAGAAGTTTTCTTGTTTTAATTTATTTTTAATTTATTTTAAGTTTTTTTTCAAAATTTAATTTGCGCGCAATTTCCAATTGCTTTTTGCGATATCTATTTTTAGATTTTACAAAAAAACGCCAATTACATAAAAACGTCATTGGACGCGTTAAATTTTACAATGTAACTACACAATTTTTAGTGTAGTTACACTATTTTCTGCGTCATTACATTGTAAAGTTTACAATATTGTGAAAATTTTATAGGATAGGGGAAATGTTAAAGTTAACAATGTTAAAGTTAACAATGATAAAGTTAACAATGTTAAAGCTAACAATGTTAAAGTTAACAATGTTAAAGCTAGCAATGTTAAAGTTAACAGTGTTAAAGTTAACAATGTTAAAGTTAACAATGTTAAAGTTAACAATGTTAAAGTTAACAATGTTAAAGTTAACAATGTTAAAGCTAACAATGTTAAAGCTAACAATGTTAAAGCTAACAATATTAAAGTTAACAATGTTAAAGCTAACAATGTTAAAGCTAATAATGTTAAAGTTAACAATGTTAAAGTTAACAATGTTAAAGTTAATAATGTTAAAGTTAACAATGTTAAAGTTAACAATGTTAAAGTTAACAATATATCTACTGATCAAATCAATATCTGAATAAAAAAACTTTTCTCAGCATAAAGCTAAATTTTTTCAACAGCATAGAGCTAAATTTCAACATGTGTAATATCTATATTTTTCAGAATTGAAATTAGATGATTCAGTTTCAATAATATGTACAGAAGAAAAAAGAAAAAAATGATTTGTTCAAAATTAAAAAGCTGTAAGGTCCCTGCACAATTTTTAGAAATGCTATATGTAAACCTTTTTCCTACTTAAATAACTTTTAAACAGTTGCTTAGATTAAAGCTTTTAGAAAATGTTTGCTTTTTCAAATCTCAACTTTTTCATATCTTTAGAAATCATCATTAGACTTCAGATTTTGAAAGTAATAATGCAATAGACATGATTAATTGTGATTTTACAGCATTTTTTTACATTTTTAGTTACAAAATAAGCACTTGTTTTGCAGACAAAACAATAACATCATCCAAATGGGTGATGCCATGTTTTAATGGCATCACATCAACTAGTGCATCATATTACCTCTAAAATTACTACTGCATATAAATATTTTTTGAAAAGCCACATTAAATTTTATTGAACTTAGATTTACTTTAAACAAAAAGACAACAATCTTTTATTCAAACACTTTTAAACAAAAAGTTAAAAGATATTTTAATAAAAGTACACAACTAAATAGTGTGTAATTTATTTTATGTATGAACTGTTTTATTATTGTAAAAAATAAAAAAATAAAAAAAATTATGAGTACTTACAGGTATGCTGACCATAAAACTACCAGCTACAGCAAGGCCATGCGTAAAATTGTCAATACAATTTGCTAATAAGTTTAAATAACCAATTACCTAAAAAAAATATTTTTACTTTAATAAAATATCAAAAATAAATTTTGAATTCCGTTGAAATATTGAAACTTTGAATTAATTCAAAACATTGATTTCAAATATTTAAATACTAGAAAATTCATGGGTGGCCATGGTGTCCATGGTGCCCATTTTTAGCAATCTTTTACACTTGTAAATGATATTAATTTTGAGAAGTGAAGTGAAGCTGGTGAAGGTAAATAAATTTTATATATACAATGCATACCTAATGAGTGTTTATAAGTAAAAAAGAATTAAAATTAAAAATTTAAATGATTGAAAACTAATGTTTAAAATAAAAAACTTCATTAAAGAATTTATTTATACACTATATTTCATGTAAAGTGCCTTTGATCATTCATCAGTTGACCTTGCTGAGGATTTGCTTCGCTAAAAATATTGACTTGATTGGAAATTATAAATCTTGATAAAGCAACATATGTCCATGTGCAAAAGGCGCTTGCAAATGAATACCAACATGATCAAATGACCTTGCCACTTATTATTATTTAGTTAAAACTAAACTTGTTAAAGAAGTTAAAAACTCATTAAAAGAGTACCCTAACTCTTCTAACCAAAACCCTAAGGTGATGAATGTACGTTCACTGTGCCAATGGCTAAATAAGTCAGTTGATGTATGTGTGCCTCAATGTCTCAACATCTTAGTAGGAATATGTTCACTCTGCCACACCTATGGCTTATCAAATAATATATATTCACTTACTGTGCTTATTCCTAAATAATTCATTTAATAAATGTACACTTTAATGTGCATGAAAAATGTTACAGCACATGCTGTGCGCATTTATGCTATTTATTAACTGAATTACTTAACTATTTATTAACTGCTGTGTCTTTTATTATATCAATATTTATTACTATTAATATATTAGCAGGCTTGGACAGGAATGGCATGCGATTGAGCGCTCTTGTTGACCATGCAAACAACTATTTTTTGACAACTTGACCACAAGAACAAAATGTTTAAAAATCTAAACATCTAAACTTGACGTTTAGATGTTTAATTGATTTTTAAACATTTTAGAAATTTGCTTTAAAAAGAAACGCTATTAAAACTTAAACTCGGAAGAATGTTAAAAAAAATAATAATAATGAAAAAAGAAAGCAATTCCTTACAAAAAAGAAAATATATAAGCACTAAAATAAAACTCAAAAAACTCAAACTCAAGGTGAAAATTACATTTGTTATGTTTTTAATTGCATTTAAAATAAATTACTTTAAAACTTACACAAAATGCATTTATTTTAAACAACCACTATAATTGATTTTTTATTTTATTTCAGGTCTTCTTTTGTAAAACAAAAAACTTTAGAAAAGATCAACAATTAAAAGTTATTCATAATGTAACAATTTTTTATATTGTCAAAACATCAAAACTGCTGTGGTCAAATTGTAAGGAAAAAATTTATAAGCGTGGTCAGTTACATATATTAAATTCTCAACTCATTCAAAATATAATTTGTAATTATAAATAACAAATCATTCTCTACAAGTTATTCATTTAGATAAGCACATAATAAAGATTAGCAATAAAAAATTATTTTTAAATTTAATATTAAACATTTCGCATCAAAATGCATTTGATAAAAACTGATAAAATACTCAAATGCAATTAACATTCCAAAGTCAATGAAGCATGTAAAGGTAGTTTACTGAGCATTTTTCAACAACAATGTTTTCCCAAGTGCTAGATTGCATATAACTGCAACAACCTAAATCTTGAGTAGTCCTTTATTTTAAAGCCCCAAATTTCCAAAAACAAAAAATCATATGGAACAAAAAAAAAAAAACAGTTTGAGCCCAATATGGCATGATGATATTAAACTGCTTATTGCTAACTGTTTTTTATCCTTTTTACTTATTTCTATATGACTTTTCTTAGTTGAGTTATATTCTAAACATGTTACTTTTATAAAGACTTAAACTTGTATACATTATTGTATATAAAAGACTTGCAAAGCAATGTTATTTAGCAATCGTGTACAAAACCAAGTATTGTTTACAGCTATAAACCAGGAATGGGGTCAAATATATTTGATCAAATGCAAATTCAAATACAAATAATTACAATTGACATTTTTCAAATACGAATACAAATATTTGTACAATAGGTTTTGATAAAATTATTTTTTAAAGACTGATAAAATGGTTTACTAAATAGAAGAATAAAAACAAGTCTTTTTACACAGGGTTCCCACTATTAAAACAAAGGCTAAAATTAAGGATTTTAAAGAGATTTAAGGAGATATTTTCCTAATATTTAAGGAGATTTGGTTGCGAACAACATTTTTTTGAAAGAAAAAGTAAGGATAATTAAGGAGAAAACGATTACATTGAAAACATAATCTTATTTTTTTCAATAAATTTTAAATATAAACAGAGAAATTATTATTACTTTATATATATATATATATATATATATATATATATATATATATATATATATATATATATATATATATATATATATATATATATGTATATATATATATATATATATATATATATATATATATATATATATATATATATATATATATATATATATATATATATATATATATATATATATATTAATATGTATATAATAACAAAAATTGGTTTGAAAACTATCAAAAATATATAAAGACCACAAGGGAAAAAAGGCACACGTCACATTTTCCAATTTTTTGAGTTTTGTCCCCTACTATATAAACATAAGCCTGAAGATTAGCAGAATCGTAAAATCAAACCCAAAAGAGACCTATATAATGCTATAGAAAGACCTAAAGAAAATGGCATGCAGGGGAAAAAGGGCATAAGTCCAGAATGTAAAAGGAAAAAAAGGCCTATATCACAAACAACAATTCCTAGAAAGGTCATGTGACTAGCTTCAGCCAATCGACTACCTTTATTTTACCATAACTCAAAATGGAGGATCAAGACACTCCATGCGTTACAAATAAGCCAAAAAAACATAGATCATCTGGCAGAAAAAAAGATCAGTTGAAGAAAGTACATAATTCAAGTCATCAAACAGGAGAAGACTGTAAGTGCAAACGATTTAAATGTTTTGAGGCCACAACAAGAGAGAGACCGCCTCATTACTGCTCTTAATGAGCTTCAAAACAAAGATAATCAAGACGCCTTTCTGTCTACACAAATTGGTGTGCTAAATGTTGCAAGAAGAAGACAAAAAACAGATGGCACAGATCCAAAACCAAAAGACAAACCCTACAGTTATATGATCAAGGTTCAACGGGATGACAAAGTTGAAGAAGTGGATGTATGTGTCAAGGGATTTATGGCCATTTTTGGAATCAGTCACAAGCAAGTTAGGACAATACAGACAGCACTGAAAGAAACTGGTAAGCAATCTAGATTATTATTATTATTATTATTATTATTATTATTATTATTATTATTATTATTATTATATTGTCAATTATGTTGTTGTATTTCTTATTGTGATTATAATCTTTTTTATATTATTATTATTAGAAGTAGTAGTAGTAGTAGTAGTAGTAGTAGTAGTAGTAGTAGTAGTAGTAGTAGTAGTAGTAGTAGTAGTATATGATACTGACAGGCTATTCTTACAATAGCCAATGTTTACACATCTCGATGGTGAATCTAGGCACCACAAGATAAAAATAAAGCACACAATGGTTAGGAGAATTTTAGTGGAGGTTTGCTAATCCCTGTTAAAATTCTGTTAGCACTAACGCTAATCCCTAACTATTTGTAACAGATTAGCGAAAGTTAGTTATGCTAACAGCAGTTGATCCTCACAACCCAAAATAATAGTATGCTATTGTTAGTGCTTTTTGTAGTTTTACTGTTGTTGTTGTTCTAAATTTTTTGTCTGTGGTCTCACAATTATGGTCCTGTGTGTTTTTTACAGGATTTCCACCAAAAGACAAGCGAGGGAAGCACAGCAACCATGCCTGAAAGCTGACAGAGCTTGTGATTGCTCATATTGGCTCTTTCAAGGGGGGTTCATCTCACTACTCAAGCAAAAAGTCTAGTCGCCTCTACCTGCCAGAAACACTCAACATTACGAAAATGTTTAATCTTTTCTGTGAGCAGCATTCTGGTGTTACCCTTTCATATGAGTCCTACTGAGCCATATTCAACGAGAACTTTTATACTTTATTCGGGTACCCTAGGTCTGACACCTGTTTTGCCTGTGATGAGTTTCAAGCAAAAATTAGCAGCATTGACTCTCAGCTTCTTGCACGTTCTGGTGATGAAGAGGATTTACAGGCACAGAAGGCTAAACTCTCTGCAGAAAAGGAGCTTCATCAAGGCAAAGCAGAAATATTCTACAAGCAGAAAAGGGCGACAAAGAACGCATGTAAACAAGATCAAAATTCTCTCGCAATGCCTTTGATTTTCAGAAGAAGTTGCCTGTACCAAACAAGACCACCAATGATGTATTTTATCAACGCCAGCTGTCCCTGCACTCATTTAACATTCACGAGCTTGCAGGGGATAATGTGTACATCTACACATATGATGAAACAGTTGGTAAACATGGGTGGCTTTAATCCTGTATCATTTCATTAAACATAGTGTTCCACAGAATGTGAGGAATATTCAAATGTTTTGTGATGGTTGTGCCTGCAAAAACAAAAACTGGATAGTTTTTAGGTTCTTATATGCCCTTGTGCATCTTTGGAAAAGGTTTGACAAAGTGAAAGTAACATTTCCAATCCGTGGTCACTCTTAAATGGAATGTGATCATGATCTGAGCTTGGTAAACAAAACGAACCCTATTGATGTTCCTGATCAGTGGGTGGAAGAATTTAGCAGTGCTCGTGTGAGGCCTTCCCCTCACAATGTGATCATAATAGACCAGGAGAGCTTCTTCAAAGTAGCAGCCTACCTGAAACCACTGTTCAAACCAACCTGTCGTGTGCCAACCCGTCCAATCAGGGAAGTTGTTTTCTCTATAGAACATCCTATGCTCATGTATTTCAGGAACAATTGGCATGGGCATTACGAGTCTGCTGTTGTATCACCTAGGAGGAAGACTCTTCCAGCAAATATTGAAACGGTGTTAAAGTCTGACATGGAGAGGAATTACCTTCACCCACTACCAATATCCCTGGCCAAGTTCGAGGACCTGCAGGTGTTAAAAAGGTTCTGCGACCCAAGAAACCATGCATTTTTTGACAATCTTTCTCATGATGGCAGCATGTCAAACAACCTCCATGAGGAAAAATCAGATTCGGATGAGGTGTCTTGGCCTTATTGCATCAAAATGTTGTAAAAAAAAACTTAATCACTGTCAATAATAATGATTTTTTTGTAATAAACAAGTAAAAAAAAACTGCTTTGGTATGGTGTGTCCATATTTGAATAACCAATCGTACAGGCCAAGAAATACAGTAAGAACAAACATAGGGACTTTCAAAGACAAAATTTCATTATCTCAAAAGTGAAAATGTGTGACATGTGCCTTTTTTCTCCTGTAGTCTTCATTTATATATATTATCTTCTTCATTAACAAGTATAATCAATTCACTTTAAAAATTTTTTTTAGATGAATAAAAAAAAATAAGGAGAAATTAAGGAGAGCAGTCAAATTTTAACTTTTTTAAGGTTATTTAAGGACATTTAAGGAGATTTTTATTTTTTAAGGATATTTAAGGTTTTTAAGGAGGTGTGGGAACCCTGTTACAAGTATCCCTTAAAAACAAATTTTTAATTTATTTTAGTGTTAAAAAAAAAAAATAAAACAAAGAACCTCTTGGTTTTTCCCAAAAAAACACTGGCTAACCTAGTTTATGGAATTGCAAATACATTTTAATCAAATATAAATATATAAGTAATTTTTTAATCAAATACAATTATACGTATTATACGAATACACAAATTAAGCCTATTTTTACCAAACACAAAAACAAATATGTATTTGATCCCAACCCTGGATATAACACATTAATAACAATGTAGAAAAATATTTCAAAGTGAAAGCTAAAAGAGAATAACAAAAACGATTTAAAAAAATGAACAAACGATAAGAAAAAGAATTTTTAATTTAAAAAGAAAATTTAATTTAAAGAATTTTTTAATATATGCTGTCATATTTCAAAGAACCCAGGTTTTAATAGTTCAAGTAATCAGTAAAAGTTTAGAGTATTTCACTTCATGATAACGTATTGGTCATTTTATGTTTTATAACTGTTCAATTTCAAAGAATCAGTAATCTTTCAGCAAAGAGTTACAATGCTTCTGAGTCAGTTGAAATTTTACTCTACAATATGACCATAAATACTATTAATGCGTTTATGACATAATAAGAAAAGAGAAGATATAAGTGAGTGGTGTCAATTACTGACTTCAATTCCTCATACTATTTTCAACTTGTCTCATAACACTCTCAATTCTCTTCTCTGTCAGAAGTAAATCCTAGCACAAATTGAAAAGCTTATAAAGCTTTTTTAAAAAGGTCAATTATATTAAACTTACCCAATAATTAGTTAGTTCAAAAATTGATGAAATGGATGGATTTAAGTTTAAAAAAACAAATTAAAAAAAGTTTTCAGTAAAAAATGATTTTTTATACAACAAAATTAAAAATTATAAGTTTTATACACACTAACATTCAAACCAATGAATATATTTGTTTTCAAACCAATGAATATATTTGTTTTCAAACCAGTGAATATATTTGTTTTCAAACCAATGAATATATTTGTTTTCAAACCAATGAATATATTTGTTTTCAAACCAATGAATATATTTGTTTTCAAACCAATGAATATATTTGTTTTCAAACCAATGAATATATTTGTTTTCAAACCAATGAATATATTTGTTTTCAAACCAATGAATATATTTGTTTTCAAACCAATGAATATATTTGTTTTCAAACCAATGAATATATTTGTTTTCAAACCAATGAATATATTTGTTTTCAAACCAATGAATATATTTGTTTTCAAACCAATGAATATATTTGTTTTCAAACCAATGAATATATTTGTTTTCAAACCAATGAATATATTTGTTTTCAAACCAATAAATATATTTGTTTTCAAACCAATGAATATATTTGTCAAAGGTAGCTCAAAAAGATTATTTATTTTTTTTGTTTTGAGAAAAAATATTTTGTGCTAAATAAAATTTCAATTTTAGTATACTTTTTTTTTTCATGGATACAACAGTTTAAACTAAAAATTTACTCCATTTTGATTAAACAAGTTATTAAAATTAACTATTTTGATTAAACAAGTCATTAAAATTAACTATTTTAATTAAACAAGTCATTAAAATTAACTATTTAATAAATCAATAAATAGTTAATGTTAATGATTAATAAACAAAATGATTTTTATATTTTATCTTTAAATAGCTTAATAAACAAAATGATTTTTATATTTTATCTTTAAATAACATATTAGAATTAAGCATTACAAAATCTATGTTTGTTAAATTATACATAAAATGAGGTAAGCAAAAAGATTTTAAATGAACTAAAAAACAAAATTTAAATGCTGTTTTCCTCAATAACACTAATTGAGAAAAACAGCACTTGGTACTCCAAAAGCAACATTAACAATTTAATAATTTATTAGAGTTATTGATTAACACAAAAAACAATTTCTTTGATAAAAATATTTTTCAAGAATAGCAGAATTTAATTTGTCTAACGAAAAAAGATTTTTAAAAAAATAATTTTTTTGAAAAGATTTAATTGATGAGATTTTGAAAAAATTTAATTGATGATTGATTGAAGATTTAATTGATGATTGATTGAAGATTTAATTGATGATTGATTGAAGATTTAATTGATGATTGATTGAAGATTTAATTGATGATTGATTGAAGATTTAATTGATGATTGATTAAAGATTTAATTGATGAAAAAGATTTAAATGATTGAGTTTTTTTTAAAAAAGCTGACTCAGCATTATAAAGGTCTGGACCATGTACTGTCAAAATAATTAACTCTTTTTTTTTTTGACAATATATATACAACAAACAATATCGAGTCTGGCTAACTAAAGCACCTCAAGAATATTGATGAGAAAGGTTTTATTGGCAAAAAAAGGCAAGGTATCTGTCATTTGTAGATGTGGGTCTAGATATCTTTGAATAAAGAATTTTTTTTTAACAACACTCCTAACAAGGCTGCAAGGAACCACTATTTAAATTGGGAGTTAACAGAAAACAAAGAGTAGAGTAAGAGAGAAAAAAAGTGATTAACAGAAGACTTAGAAAACAGTAAATTTTATAAGTCAGGAAAGAATGAAGGCAGAAGAAAACTGCAACCAAAGCATTAATGTTTAAGGAAAAAAAACTAAACAAATAATATATATTTAAGCATGAAAAAACAGTCACGGCAAAAGAATGCAACTTAGCTGAATGACAAATTACGAGATTGAGTTTTGGGTGATGGAACAAGTGATGATTGCTTGGACATTAAAACAAGTGATGCTTGCATGATAGCTACAACAAGTACAACAAACTTACATTGTGTTTTTGGATCTTGCCTAAATAAGAGGGCCTCATTAGAAGATCTGGCCAAATATGACAACAATATTCCATAAGAAGGCAAATAAGAGATTTATAGAGGTAAAAAATAGAATCAGGAGCAATAAAAATAAAAAATAGCAAATAAAGTAAAGAGGCAACCTTGGTAGGTTTCAACTCTGTAATGGATTGTATATTGTTTCCAATATACAATCTATTACAGAGTCAGTAGTGAATGGTAATCCAAGAAGAAATAAATTAGAGGACTCAATAAAAGCCCATTCATTATATAAGAATATCAATAATATTGGCAATGATTATTAGCAATTATTCAGTGCCATTTTGAAAAGTCTTTTTTAGACTATGACATTAATAATGTAACCCATTTAATACAGTTTTACTCTAGCGGGTGAACTAAAAATTTTTTTAATGTATTTTGAAAATTTTGAACAAATGTTTTATATACTCTTTTTTTTTTTTCATTTTTAATATATTCATAAAAAAATCTTACTTTTATCTTTGCTTCTGAGTATACTTCATCATTTTTATCTTCCTCTTCAAAAATGTTTTCATCTTGTTCTTTATGGAAGTCTCCTTGTTCTTCAGAAATATTTTTATTTTCTTCTTTTGATGTGTTTTTATCTCTATCTGAAATACATTATAAATAAAATATATTACAAATAAAACTGTTGAATTTTGATGACAGTTGAATGCTTACCTTGTTTACACACAGATATATATATATATATATATATATATATATATATATATATATATATATATATATATATATATATATATATATATATATATATATATATATATATATATATATATATATATATATATATATATATATATATATACTGAAGTGAAGGTTTTGAAAATTATTTCAAGAAAAATGTTTTTAATATTCAAACCTATTTTGAGCAGAAATAGAAAACTAAAACATATTCTATAATAACATATGGCTATTTCAGTATATGCTTCAGTTTTAAAAAAGCATAACTTTGAATATGAATTCAAAAAAAGCATATACTGAAATAATCATATGCTATTTCAGTATATACTTTAGTATAAGTGATAGAGGAAGTTAAAATTTCGTTTCGGTTTTAGCTTCAGCCAAAAATTTTATTTGAACCAATACCAAAATTTTGGTTTCACCACTTTTTATTAATTGTTAAAAAAAAAAATTTCGGTTAAAAAGCATACCGAAAACAAAAATTCAAATTGAATGATTTTAAACTTTTATTTCAATCTCCATTAGTGACCCCAAGTATGTCAATTGTAATTTTTGCAAAAGAAAAATATCTTGCAGTTTTGATGATCCTAACACCATACTGTCAGTGACTTTTTGTCTCATTTAAAAACTTACCATCCTATTATCGTCAAAACCAGCCCTGCTTCTGCTGAAATTTGGGTAAATTATTTGCCGAAATGTCGGTTTTGGTCTTGATATTGAAATAGTATACCCGAAATTTTGATTTCTTTTGGTTTCAGTGTATTTCCTGTTTCGGTCAACCACTATTTAGTATAATGTCATCAGTGAAGTTTCATGCACACTAAAGCACACATTATATTATATCTTTTGCTGTTTAATAAAAAACATCTGTTTATAAATTTTAACTTTTTCCCAACTAAATTGATTTTTAATAGTAGTAATAGGGGTTACATATACCTTCATTTTTCAAGCTAATTAATAAAAAAAAAATCATCTGAAAAACTAAATAAAATAAATACAATGTTTCTTCACCTCAAAAAAGGAAAAAAAAGGCTTTTAAAACAATGATGCGACATGTTTATCATTATTTTCATTCAAAACACCCATATTTAGAGAACAGTGGCATAGAATCTTTAATAATTCACTTATTTTTGAAACTCATAGTTAATATATAACAAAGTTTCAATCCCTACCAAGTCCCTGGTAGTACCATGGTCAACTTGTTTCTCTCTCCAGCAGCCTTGTTTGTCAAGGTTAGTGTTTCAGAGTTATAGAGTTAAGAGTAGTGTTGTTATCAACTTCAACTAAATAGACTAAAAGTTATTACAAGACCGCTCCAAGCTAGCTTGGGGCCCTGGGGCAAAATTAAGTTGTGAAACTCTAAAATTTAAATGCCATTAATCTATACAATCACATAATAAATATCATTGTAATGTTTTGATATACAGCAAGTATTTAAGATGATCCCTAAATCATTGGGGTCTGGAAAAAGATTGTCTTGTTGTTGAAGCGGCCCTCCTCTCATATTATTTTGCTCCACTATTTTTCATGATATTAAAAAAATAGAAAGCTAATATAAATTACTTTATTATTTTTATTACAATTTATTTCCAAAAAATAAATTATTGCCATCCTTCAACTAAATTGACTTAGTTAATTTCAAAAATATATTAGTCAATTTAGTGGACAGTCAAATTATTTTTCTTTATGAAAAAAAAATGTTGAAAATTTAAAAAAAGACTACTCAAAATTGCGCTGAAACTCTAAGCTAAGCTCTATCCAATGGAACTCTAAGTTAAGCTCTATCCAATGAAACTCTAAGCTAAGCTCTATCCAATAAAAGGAAATTTACAATGAAGATTTTCACAATGTCAGTTTTATAAAATATTTACACTAATACTTTGTGTAAAACTTTACAGTTATGCAAGCTACAATTTTAAGCAGCTCAAGTGGTATATAAAATTGTAGTTACATTGTAAACTTTACAATAATGTAAAATATTTATATATTTAAAATATAAATATCAATAATTAAAATATTTAAATAACAAATGCCTTGTTAAGATTGTTTGTAATAAATTTATTCCAACTATTAAAATATATATTATTTTTCTTTTATATAATTATATTTTTGAATGGTAAATGCAAATCTTATAAAACAATTTTTATAAATGATTTTGTAAACAACATCAATTTTTAGCAACAATTGCGTCTTTAAAGAAATTTTTTTAAGAACTGAAGTTCAAATAGCTGAAAATATAAGAAAACTTTTTTATTGAAAAGAGTGTAAACAAGAAAAAACTTAAAAATAAAATGTTTAACAGTCTGATATAGATGTTGAGCTAAAATTTTTATTTATGCTTTTATTTTTCCATGGATTTTTTTTTTAATTTTTTTCCTCCATGAAAGAAGTTTATCTTTTTGCCTTTTAAAAAATTCTTTCTATTAAATCAACTAAAAAATTTTTGTATAAAAAAAAAATATATAAAAAAAAAATTTTTTTTTAAAGACTAATGTAAAATTAAACATTATTAGGGGTATAGTGAAGATCTTCTGCTTCTTCTTTGTATATTTTTACCACAAGATTTAGTTTTGAAGCCATTAAAACTTGCTTTTGGTTTATTAAAAAAAAAAACAAAAAAAAAATATTTTACTTAAAAAACAATATACCCATTGTATATCATCTAATTATTTTGTATATTATACAATTATGGCCGAAAATGATCTGACCACCCAATATTTATTGCAAAAAACCGTTTTAGTAGTGTATCCATTTATTATTAGAAAATGTTTCAATTTAAAAAATTAAAAAAAAAAAAAAAAAAAAGTGTAAAACATGTATTAGTATGGGTTCCTTGAACTTTTAGAATAAATTGTATTTTTCAAGGCATTGAGGCAACAAGTGAATCACAATATTCTAATATCATTTTATAAAACTTTTCATTATGACTCTTCTCAGATCTTTAAGTGAGGTTGGGTTATAAAGGGTTGGGTTATAGGTTGGGTTATAGGTTGAGGTTGGGTTATAGGTTGGATTCTGTTCAGAAACTTTCGCTTTCAATTTTATCCAACAGTTTTTGATGCGGTTTAAACCAACTGAATTAATCAGCCACAGGGCAAGAATATTGATTATATTTTCTTAGAGCCTCGTCTTGACAAATCTTGCCTAATGACAAGTTGAAAATTTATAATTCCAAACCAATTCTATACATTGTTATTTAAAATTTCCTAATAAATTTCGGATAATTTCACCTTGATGTAAAATTGCTAAGAATTGTCTTTTGGAAGGTGCAATGTTTTGATTGAAGGATGAGTTTGATGAGTTTTGGACAGCAAGCATTAACTTTGTGTACTACAAAACAGATTAACTTGAGATTGATTGAGATATTTTTTTTATTTATTAAATGTTTCAACTGTATTTATCAAATTGATTAAATGTGTAAATAAATAAGTATAAAAGTTAAATTTTTATATTCATTTATTAAATGTGTTATGTTTACAGCTAACTCCAAGGGATCAACGAAAATGGTTCAACAACTGTTTGACTAAAGGGAATTCCCGTTATGCCAAACTTTGGCTGATATGTGATATTAGTTTGAGTTAAGGCAATTTTTTTTAACCAATGCTTAAGTATAAACATTAATTTACACCATTGTTCTGAAAGTAAATACATTAAATTTACATCATTATTCTAAAAGTAAATACATTAAATTTCATCATTATTCAATGAAAGAAGTTATGTATTCACGCAGTACATTCAAAAGATAACATTCAAAGAAGTGTGGCGACGCAATAACTTCCTTATTATTTAGTAATAAAAGTGCGTCTAAAAGGTAGCAGTCTTTTATTTAGAAATTTATTAAACTATAAAATAATTTTTAAAGTTTTTATCATGATTTTTTAAGTTTTATTATAGCATTATTTTACGTCTGATAACGACCTAAATACAACAAAAAAATTAAAGAAACTATTAGGCTACAGATATCTATATTTTATATGTAATAACTTCTTTTTTTTAAAAATTATAATTATGACAATAATGAAAAAAAAATTTAATTATTGACATAACTAAAAAATTATGTCAATGATGGCTGTGTATTGAAAGGCAGTAGTTACATAAGTAATTTGGCTTGTATGACATATGAAGGTGTCAAAGATTTCATCTTTTAACAAAATAATGCCTTTGTCATTGAGCAAAAAAAGTCTATAAATGATTCAAAGAGAAAAAATTAAAACAATGTATTGGCCTGCAAACAGTCACAAATGAATTTAAAATTTGTGGTCTTGGTTGAACAAACAGGTTGTAAAACGTGAAATTTTCAATAAAGATGCATAAATTGAGCAATAAACGATGTGATTAACAATATTCCATCTGAAATTTTCCATAACTTAGTTGATAGTATATTTTTGCAAAATATACTATTAACTAAAAACCCTCAGTCAATGTAGCAGAAACTCCCTTGCATGCTCTCTCTATCAGTTGATGTGTGTACTAATATATAAGTATATATAAGTATACACCACGATATATAATTATACATCAACCCACTAAGTAGGCCTCACAAGCAAGGGATGTCGCTACATCAACTAAGGGTTCGGGTTAAGAAATGCCATAATGAAACAATATAAAGCAAGTCATGCTAAGATGAGCATACAGATATGCAGTAGTTCACCTATGAGATTTAAAGATCTTTGCAGAATCTTATTGTGCAAAGATCTTTAGATAAAAGAGGATAGGAAATAGTTTCTGATTTTATTTTTTTAAATTTATAGCATAAAAATTGATTTTTTAATTTTTATAAACTTAAAGCATTTTTTACAACATTTAATTAAATCAGTGAACAATGTTTATTGAACTCATTAAAAAATGAATTTGATAAACATTGGTAACATATCAAAAGCACCTTAGGGGCTGTATATATTCCTTTGTTACTAAGTATTGCAGCAAGAACACATTTTAGAAGAACACATTTTAAAAAAAGTTAAAAAAAAATATTTCAAACACAGCCTACAGGTAAAAAATTAACTCTTTTTCCAATATACCCCCTTGTTTATAAAACACTTTCTTTATAAATATTTACTAACATTAAAAAATCATATTCATTAAAATAATTTTTCACCTCCAATTTTACAGTTACCAAAATGATGCCTCAACCGTAATTCTTCATTACACAATTTCTTGTCTAATATTGTATCATTACTCTTGGAAACAGGATCGTGTTGAAAAAAAAGCTAAATATAGAAACAAATTATAAAAAAAAAGTTTAAAAAAAATCTTATAGTAATACACTATATATAATATATACATGTGTACATATACAAAAATATAATATAATATATACATGTATACATATACAAAAATATAATATAATATATACATGTATACATATACAAAAATATAATATAATATATACATGTGTACATTTTTTTTTTTTTTTTTTTTTTTAACATCTTCACTTCCAACAAGGCTGCAAGCAACCACTATAAGAGTTGGAAGTTACTGGAAGAGAAAAGACTAAATCTGTAGAGCAAGATAACGATTGACTGATGACTTAAAAGATTTCAAATTATATGAATCAGGAAAGCAAGATGAAGGAAGCGAATTCCAAAGAACTGATGTTCGAGGAAAAAAACTAGAAGAATAAGAGTTTTTGAAGCACTTAGGAACAGTCACAGAAAAAGGATGAGACTTAATTGAATGGCGAGTAACACGAGAATGAATTTTAGTAGATGGCACAAGGGACGCTAGCTCTTTAGAGCAGTGCCCATTATAGTATTTGTAGAAAAGAGAAAGAGAAGCAACATTACGACGATGTGACAAAGGTTGGAGATTGGCTGCAAGAGCAGGTCCAACTATGTTTACAATTCGTTTTTGCACCTTGTCTAAAAGAGAAAGAGCATCATTAGAAGATCCGCCCCAGATGTGGCAACAGTATTCCATACAGGGACGGATTTGAGATTTATAGAGATAGAGAATAGAATCTGGAGTAAGAAAGTGTCGAGCTCGATAAAGAGATGCAACCTTCGCAGATGCTAATTTTGCAATGGATTTGATATACGGTTTAAAAGAAAGATCAGAAGTAAGAGTTAATCCTAGAAGATGAATGGTAGATGACTCATCTAGTACATTACCATTCATAAATATAGGAAGATCTAAATTATTACGATAACGATTGGCCGAATAAAATTGAGTTTTATCTGAATTAAAGTTCACCAGCCACTGTGAGCCCCATGCTGTAGCAGAAGTGAGATCCTTTTCAAGCTCAGATACCCCCTCCAAGCAATCAGAGAGTGTAGGCTTCTTATCATGACAAGAGTAAATGGTAGTGTCATCAGCGAATAATGCCACCTTAGATGTGAGAATATCTGGAAGATCGTTAATGTAAATTAAAAAGAGTATAGGGCCAAGGATTGAACCTTGAGGAACCCCTGAAGTTACAGGATGTGAAGAAGAGTGTTGTCCATCGAGGACAACTTTTATACTACGATTGGAAAGAAAGGACTCAATAATCTTAAAGACGTTACCAGCTACACCATAAGAAGAAAGCTTATGGAGAAGACCAGCATGCCAAACTTTATCAAAAGCTTTAGAAATGTCAAGTGCGATAGCCTTAACCTCTCCACCTCTATCTAATGCACGGTAAAACCTATCGGTTATTACTGTTAGCACATCAGCTGTAGAACGAGAAGACCGAAATCCATATTGATGATCAGAAAGTAAGTTATTTGATTCAAGATGAGAGATTAAGTGTTTGTTGATTAAAGATTCAAAAACCTTGCTTATGACAGGAAGAAGACTAATGGGACGGTAGTTAGATGAATCAGATCGCTCTCCGGAATTTTTGAAAATAGGGATAACAGATGCTGCTTTCCAGCATGATGGAAAACAAGACTCTGATAAGCACTTGTTAAATAGTTTAGAAAGTATGGATGAAAGCTCCGGAGAACACCTCTGCAAAACTACAACAGGAATGTTGTCAGGACCACAAGCTGTTGAAGAGTCTAAGCAGGAAATTACTTTAGATACAGAAGCTGAAGTGATGCGAATGTCAAGCAAGGGATCGACCTGTTTGACGGCTATGTCAGGTAAAACGCAACTAGTGGAATCAAGAGATGATATTGATGAAAAGTTCTTAGCAAACAATTCAGCTTTGTCTTTAGGTGAGGTGACAAAGTCTGAACCATACAAGAGAGAAGGAATAACAGATTTGCCCTTATTATTGATACTGTTAAAGATTCTCCAGAAGTCTCGAGAGCCTAATTTTTGTGATGAGATACGAGATTTAATGACCTGAGAATAGCGAGCTTTGGCGTCAGACAAAACCTTTTTACAATGGCTTCTGGCGATAGTGAACAGATGTCTGTTTTCTGGAGAATTGTTTTGCTGATAGATATGGAAGTAACGGTTTCGATTAGAAATTGCTGCAGCGCAATGTGAGGAAAACCAAGGAGAAGAGTGAGGCTTGACCTGGAATCGTCGAGAGGGAATAAAAGATTCCATGCCAGCCTGAATCCACGAAGTTATGTAAGAAGCACATTTGTCAGCAGGAAGACGAAAGATTTCTACCCAAGGGCCATCACGAAGAAAATCACGGAAAGAGTCCCAGTCAGCTTTAAGGTAGTTGTATGTGGTACGATGATAGGGGGATTCTGATGAAGTAGAAGAATTTGATAATAGTTTTAGAGAGATCAAACCGTGATCAGAAGTACCTAAGGGTGAATGTGGAGAAATTGAGCACTGACTAGGATCCAAAACAAGACATAAGTCGAGTAGAGAAGGTAAATGATTAGGGTTGTCTGGAAAACGAGTTGGAAAGTTGACTATTTGAGTTAGAGATTGAGAAAGGCAAAAGTTGAGGGCCTTAACGCCAGCAGAGTCACTGACACTAGACCCAAGCCAATCGGTGTGATGGGCATTAAAGTCACCAACAACAATATTGGCCGATGGATAAAGAGAAAGGGCTTGGTCAATTTGATCAGAAATAACATCAAGAATAGTACAATCTTGGGATGAAGGAGAGCGATATAGAACAAAGAGAAAGGCGATAGAGTGAAGTTGTGCTAAACGAAAGCACATAAATGAATAGTCTGTAGATTCAAACCTAGTTTCACGACAAATGGGTGAGTTCTTACGAATGTAGATGCCCAGGCCAAGCATGTGATTATTGGAGTCTTTACGAATTAAAGGAAGATAACCATCAACACTAAGATCACAAGATGGGACAGCCGAACTCAATTTAGTCTCACAAAGAGCAAGTAGGTCTGGTGAACTTTGCAAGAGATAAGACTCAACAGAAGAAAAGTTACTTCGAAGACCACGAATATTAGTAAATGATAGGTTTAGAGAACTTGGTGATGACGATGGTTTTTTGTGTTTTTTAGTTTTAGGTACTTTAGTCATTTTAAATTTATAAAGAACTTGACTCAAGTATAGATAGTACTCAGTACACTATTTAACAACTAAGCAATAGCCTCATTACTATTAATAAACCCTAAGCCGTAACAAAGGGCTCCAAATGTGGCCTCTGCAATGCACACCAAAAGTACAAACAGGGACACCATCCATGCGCAACATGGCACTGTTAGTACTCTGATATTTTTCGGCTGTTGATGGAATCAGCCTCTCTGAGAGCTACCACAGAGTTCGGGAAACCTGACTACCAGCCGGCCTCAGAACCATAAAACTGAGTTTTAGAGCTGTACCCTCATTAGGAGATAATAGAATGAGTTGCCCAGTCATAAAAATAGAGACACAAGCAATACCCACGCATTGAGTCAAGAAGATCCAGCGTTCAACATCCTAAACTGGAAACAATGTATTAAAAATACATCTGCGCCAGCCTAATAGATGAGGAAGGGGTGCGAGGCTGGTCAACAGATAGAATCTGTTTACCCCTTAAGTCTTTGCCTAGGAGGCCTTCTACAAGACAGCAGCTGGATGTATGTAACATCTGCCCAAGATGAGTATTTTTATCGAGACACCATCTCTAGCCTTTACTCAACCAAGAGCCCCAAGGCAGGGGGTGTTTTAATTCGGAGTTAACTTCTCCTAGCCTTTGCCTAAAAAAGCGTATCCCACAAGGCAGCAGGACATAAACAAAAAATTTTAAAAATATACATAAAAGAATCCAATTTCAAATCCAAGGCAGCAAAAATATACATAAAAAGGCAGCAAAAATATACATAAAAAATATACATAAAAAGGCAGCAAAAATATACATAAAAAATCCAAGGCAGCAAAATATACATAAAAGAATCCAATTTCAAATCCAAGGCAGCAGGACATAAACAAAAAATTTTAAAAATATACATAAAAGAATCCAATTTTAAATACTTTCGTGAAACTTGGATTGAGAAGCAGAACAGGGAAGGGTTTAGGTATTTTTAACAAATTTATAAACATTCAACTAAAAACAAAAAATTTGTAATAAAATTACTTGTTCATATTCAAGATGCTTATTTTTCCCTTTATTTTCGAATTCTCTGACTTTTTCTTCTTCTGCAAAAATTTTTTCAATGAAAAGAAAACAAAGAAAACCAACAATTACCCATATACCAACTTTAAAGTGTCCCATATGATTTTTAATGTCTAAAAAATGAAAAAAGATCATTGAATTTTATTTAAGCAAATGATTGGAAATTGAGTAAAAGAAATTTAAACATTTAAATAAAAATAAAAAAAAAATTCTGTGAATGGCATTTGTGGACTTTTTCATAATCTTTTTCATAATTCAAATACATCCAGCATTAATCAAAAAAGATTATTTTAGACATTGTAAAACCCTTTAATAACTCTTACCCCCTAATTCAGAAACACATGTTAAATAACCTATATTTTATGGTCATATATACAAATGCAGAACTTAAAAATTTAGAAAAATAAAGAACTAAGGAGTTTAAAAAAATAAGTTGAAAAATATAAAAATAACACTTGACTGGATTATTTGGCCATACTTTTAGGTAGAAATGTTACCTATTGAAATTGTTCACAAATAATAGTCAATATTTGGGTCGTAAGGAAGCCTCATACTTAATGGGCTTTCCGATTAACAGAATGTAAAAAAAACCTTTTTTTTCTTCATTTATGGCTATATGTGAATTGCAAAATATTTAAAGAAAGTATAAACAATTAAGATGAAATATGGGAAAAAAATTAAAATACTTAAAATCAATTACAAGTGTATTCAATATGTGTTGAAAAATTTTCTTAAAACTCTGAAAAAAATTTAATTATTGATAACATATATATATATATATATATATATATATATATATATATATATATATATATATATATATATATATATATATATATATATATATATATATATATATATATATATATATATATATATATATATAATATTATTAGGGGAGGAAATTTTTTACAATTTATTGGATACCCTTCATTTTCAGCTATTTTAACTATCTTACCACTTCTCTTTGCATGGAAGGAACAGTGTAATCATCGCGTGTACTATTGTCTTCTGAACTTTCACTACTAGAATTGTTTTTATCGTCAAATTATTGACTATAATTTATATCAAGCTCTTTTCTTTTAGATAGCAGGACTTGCTGAGGGGTTGTAATAGACACTGTCTCAATATTGACTTTTGGACTCATTGGAAGATTTCTGAAATTCATAAAAGAGTTTTTTTCCAGATTTTGAAACTTAGTATTTTTGGGCAATAAGTCAAATAATTTATTCCAACTTCAATGGAGATTTCTTTAATAAAATCCCTTGACCTAGGAGTATTACTAAATTCTAAGAGAAAAAAATATCTTTTTAATATCTTCTTTGTCTGACATAATTTTGAAAAAACCATCATTGGCTAATCAATTCAATACCAATAAATAAAAATTGCTTGGCTTTGATATACTGGAAAGGCAATCAATTTCTAAATTATTAACTTAAAAAAAATTTGTTTCAAAAATTTGTTTATTTTGGATCAAATTTAAGATGGATAAGATATAAGTTATTCTCTTAATCTTATCCATCTAAAATAAAGTTCATATTAAAATATACAAAACATATAATAGTCAAACAACATGAATTATTTTTGCAACTTTTGAAAAAACTTTGATGTGGATTTGTGCACTTTTATACATTAATATAATTTTATGTTTTTGTGAAATTTAGATTATTACTTCACCAATATATATATATATATATATATATATATATATATATATATATATATATATATATATATATATATATATATATATATATATATATATATATATATATATATATATAAGAATAAAAAGAAGCCCGTAACAGTATACAAGTACGTATACTGTTCTGGATAGCAACTATGTATACACATGATGAGATTCAAAATGAGATCTTTATAATCTTTTCTTTCACTTGGTCACAATTTTTTATCAAGTCACTTATTCTTCAATATTGATTTTAATTTGTTACATCACCGATGCATTTGTGTAGTGTAATAATGATTTGCTTTTGAGGTATGGCTAACAGTGTTGGGGGCTCAAATCCACCTAAGGAAATTTTTTTTTAAATTTTAATGTTTTATTTTTAAGTAGTTTTATGCTTTTTAACAATTATTGTTTATTTATAATCTTTTCTTTCACTTAGAACTTTTTATCAAGTTTCTTGTCATAATATATTAGTGCAGTACTGTGTATTTAATAACGCTCTTCTTCAGGCGCGGCTGACAGTTTCGCAGGTTTAAGCCCTCCCCAGGGAGAATTTTAATGTTTTATTTTTAAGACCTTGTTATTTGTTTGCGCGTACTTATTTTTACAAAATAATAAAACTTATTTGTACACAAAAAATGTTTTAATAATTTAATTTGTCACTCCATTGATATAATAGAATAGTGCTGTGGAGTTTATAGCAGTCTATTTTTGAGGCATGGCAAACAGGGTTGCAGGTATAATTCCCCATCAGAAAGCTTTTTATTTTTATTTTTTAATGTGTTTTCATTGATTATGATAAAAAAATAACTTAGCATTATACTACAATTTATATATAGCCAATATTGTTAATCATTATTTGCTATATATATCAAAATCTGCTTAAAAAAAATATCAAAACATTGCTTGCTACTAGGGAACTTAATCACAACTCTCCTTATTAATTTTTAACAACTGAACACTGCTTAATAATAATAATATTGCAACATAACAATAACAGTACTATATAACAATAACTCGCTTTGTTAAATACCGTAGCTCATTGTAAACACTAAAAAGTAGAAAATAAAATATAAAAAAACACATTTCCTAAAATCTATAAAATAATTTAAATAAATAAAACATATTAAAAAAAATTATTTATTTAAATTTAATAGTTTGCAAACTAATTGTTGACAGGTCTGTTTCGAAATATATCTTGTGCCGACCTGTCAATGTTTAGTTTATTGAACTAATAAATTTATTTTTATTTTAAAAGTTTATTTTCCACTTTTTAGTAAAAAAAAAAAGATTATATATTTTTTAGTAAATGTTTTTGTTATTTCTTAAAAAAAAAAAGCTGTATTATAAATAAAACTAAAAGGAGATCTTACAAAGAAGCAATGCTTCTAAGCGGACCTTAGAAAGAAACAATGCTTCATATATTAAATTTAAAATTTAAGAAATTTGATCCAAATCAAATTCTTGAAACAAATCCAACTCAGCTATTTAAGTTTTCGCCATCTTATGCTCAGCTGTTAATAAATTGGTTAAAAATAAAAAATATGCACAATGTTTCCATTTTTGATGTTTAAGAAATTTTAAATTAACCTCTGTTTTTTAATAAACTTATGAAAAATTAGGTGAAAATTTTTTTAATTCCTTAACCAGTACACCTTAAAAACGATATTGTTTTAGTTGCAGATATTACAATAACTTTTCAACTGGGATTCTTTCATCATAGCACAATAGGAATATCTGAGAATGTCCTGAGTGAACTTATCACTGCCCTAACTATTTAATAGAGAAATAAAAATTTTACAAAAAGTGTATGACTTTAATAAAGCTTCTTTTTTTATTGCTAAGCAAAAGGAAAAATATGAATACAGAAACCTTACTGTATTAACAATACAAATTATTAAACCAAAAAAAAAAATTTGATTACAAGTATAATAACTGGGCAGTCACAGTATGAAAAATTTAAGTATTGACAACTAAAAAGTTTTTTTTTTTAAAGAATACAATAGAAATACAAACAACAAAGCAAATGAAATTACATTTAAAACAGCTCATTTTTTATTACCAACAAATGAAAAATTGTTTAATACAAAACTAAGATACAACCTTTATATCAACTCTACCCTAATGAATATCCTTATTGCAATAATTTTAAATTTATTTTATTTGGATACGCAATAAGAGTTTGGCAGTATTTTTGACTCTTTTGTAAATATATATTTAATTAGGATGACATGATAAAAAGAAAATAAAACATTTTGCAAAAATATTGTCTTCAAAATTTTAAAAGGGAAGTTAAAATTTTATTAGAGAAAGAATATATTATAATCAGAAGTCACATACAAAAAATATGAAGATGAAATAAGAAACATTTTTAATAAAAAAGGAAAAAATATACTTATAAACTTGGTAGCAAATATACATAACTATTTTAACTAGAACTTGAAAGTTTGTTAAATTCAGGGGAGTTTATTTTAAACATTTTTGTATTTTTATAATTTTTACGGCAAATTTTTTTGATTTCTGTTTTTTCTGTTTTGTTTGTTTTCTTTTCTTTTTTTCTATATGGATTTGATGGACTTCTTTGTAAACAATTTATTACATTTTATATATCCTTGTAAAGTTATAAGGGTGTCAGTATGGCAATTTGCCAGATGAAAAAATAAAATACAATACTATAAATAAAACTAAAAGTAAATAATAACAACAAACATCATATAAAATGGTGTATTTTATATGATGTTTGTTGTTTATTACCTCAATATTCATTATTACTAAAATAAACTTGGTTTCCAGATTTAAAAAAAAAAGGAAACAATTTGATAAGTTGAATAAAGTTGATCTTCCTTACTAGAGGTCAAAAATATGATTAGTTCAAATTAGTCTATATTTGTTGATATTTGTACAGTTCAATGTAAAAATGCTTTTCAAAGTTTTTGAAAATAAATTGAAAAAAAAATTAAAAGATTTTAGGGGTGCTTTATTGTTTAAATAATTACCTTTTTCAATAAACATCCAAGCTTCTGGAAGAAGATGCAAAAATACATCACCTAGTAGTCCACCAACAGCAAAACTTAACAGGATCTTTAAATGAGCTGGAGAAACTATAAATTAAACTACTATATTCGTATTACATTATTAACATGGACCATTATTAACATAAAACTACATTATTAGCATAGAGTATGCTATTTAAAAAATTTTAATTTGAGTTATTTTATTTACAAAATTTGTAAATCAAATAACTCAAAATAAAAAAAAAAGTAAAAAGAAAGCTTTAAAAATTAAGAGCTGTAAGAGCATTAAAATTTCTCTAACAAAAAGACTTTTCTTTAAGCGAAATAATTATGTTGTACTATTTTTTCTTAGAATAAAATATTTCATAGAATTACCAGAATCTTTTAATGAATGGCCAGGATTAGATTTAAAAAGCAAAAGTGGAAATACTCCAGTTGAACCAACTAAAATGGCTGCAGAGATAGCATATAACCATGGTGTTTCAAACCGCTTTTTTTGCTGATAAATATCCCAACTTTCGTCTGTTTCTTCTTCCTCTTCTTCAGTTGTCAAATCATTAATGCCGACTTTAAAATTCTCATCACTTTTCAACTGTAAATTTTTGGATAAATAATTTTTTTGTCTTTTATGAAGCGGGCTACCAGGTAAGGCACGATGTATATTCATATTGCAGTGACAAAAAGTTAAAAAACAAGTCATAATAAGGAATAAAAAATACTTTCCATGAAGCATGGTTGATGAAACTGTTTTCGCCAAAAAAAAAAAATATTATTCAATTTTTCCGATCAAGTGGCTTTCAATTTGTTAGCTTTGATAAAATATGCTTCTTTTAAAGTTTAAAACTAAATTTTTGTCCATGTTAATAGACTATGAATAAATAACAAACAACCTGTAGGCTTACAATTTTTACTTGAGTCGACTGTGATGATTTCTGGTAAATTTTTACGGTAAACAAAATTTGTTTATTGATGCATGGTTTAACGTTCAAAAGCAAAAATAAGCTTTTACAACATTGAGGTCATTAACTAACATGGATTGTCACCTGGATAGACGTCATTGTCATTGTGTATGTATATTTTAACAACAATTAATCTCAATTTACATCATCTTTTGTTTTAAAATAAGGTTTTCTTTTTAAAGCTGTCAATTTTTGTGTGCAACTGAGGTAATTATTATATACTCATTGTCACTTTTCAAGCTTAAAGTTTTAATTAGTTTGCCGTAAATCGCGCCTAAGAAAAACCTATATTTTTTATTTTGTAACTTATGCAATAAAAGATGACGTTACCAAATAAAAAATAAAAAAATATATATATATATGAAAACTATATAGAATCTATATATATGAAAACTATATAGAAGATAAGTACGTTATCGAAGCAAATTTTTACAAGCAAGTGTAACCAAGGTTGATCTCTATTTTTTTATTCTTCTTGAAGATAAACGGACCTCTTATTCCTCTTAATCAATCTATTTCTGCTTTTAAACCTTTTTTTCTGTTTATGCTAATTATTACTGCTTTTGAACCTTTTTTTCTGTTTATGCTAATTATTACTGCTTTTAAACCTTTTTTTCTGTTTATGCTAATTATTACTGCTTTTAAACCTTTTTTTCTGTTTATGCTAATTATTTCTGCTTTTAAACCTTTTTTTCTGTTTATGCTAATTATTTCTGCTTTGAAAACTTTTTTTCTGTTTATGCTAATTAGTCGCTAAAAATGAATTGATACAAAAGCGTTAAAATGGACATTGATTAGTCGTATTATTTTTAAAATCTCCCTAAATTATTTTTAAAATTTCGCAAAAGAGTGTAATTAAATAAAATTATATATATATATATATATATATATATATATATATATATATATATATATATATATATATATATATATATATATATATATATATATATATATATATATATATATATATATATATATATATATATATATATATATATATATATATATATATATATATATATATATAAATTGCTCAATTCAAAAAAAATGGTAAGAGTTGAGCAATGATGGTAATAATGGTAGGAAATAAACAATGTAAAACAACATTTTGTTTGGTAAAACAAACTTCAAATGGGTTTTCTCAGCACTTTTGCACTTTATTTCTTGCATGATTTTAATAGCTCGTTCGGCACAATTGTTACTACTTTGTTCTCGAATTGCTGTACTTTCTCTATTCAAATGTTGTTGTTTTTTCAACGTTTTTTGTATTTCTTAAAACTATTAAATTTCATAGTTGAATGAATGTCTCTACAAATCAATATACAAAAATACTAAAAAATTCGCTTTTATCTGAGAGTAGCGCAATAGTATATTTAGCTCTATACTTGCATCACCTACACTAGGTAAAATTTAAAAGATAAATACTTGTAAAAGTATTCGTACTGCATTGGAGTTTCTTGCATTTGAGTTTTGTTATTAGACACCAAAGAACCTAAAATCATACACAGGTAAAAAATTGGATGCAAGCATACTGGTAATTTAAACCATCAAACTGAAATTTTGCGGGAAGTAAAATATTTAGAAAAAAGTAATCATGCCAGTAATAAATGTGCATGTAATTAAAAATCAATTACGGATTTTTTATTTATACTTTTAATGCAACTTTAATTTAATTATTATCACAATGTATAGTTAAAGCTAGTTCAAATAAGTATATATATATATATATATATATTTTTTAATTAATAATTAAAAGCGATACAGCAAAAAATGTCTTGCGATCAACTCTGCCAATTTCTTTATTGATGTGTGCGTTTAACTTATTTTAGGGAGTTTAGGCTATTTTTATACCTAACAAAAATTTGTTCATTCTAAATGGGTTGAATTCTTTAAGATATTTCATTTTTAAAATGGTTTCAACTATCTTTTTAGCTTATTTAGTTCAAAGATATTTATGTTTTACTGTTTTTAACACTTCGACTTTTTAAGAAATATTTTCTTAAAGTAACGTGTTAAATTTTTGGCACCGAAAATTAAAAAAAAAAAAAACTTTTTTTTCTTTTCTTTTTATGCGTAAAATTAATTTGCAACAATAATTTTTTCCCAAAATTCAATATTTTTTCAATATTCATATTTTTTGAATTCATATTATTTTAACAACTCATTAATATATATTTTTTTGGTGTTTAGTAAACACGAGCCGTTAAATGATCAATCAACAGTAGAATATGTTTTTAAAATTTTTTGAAGACTTTAAACATTGAGAAATCAAATGTTGCGATATTAAAAATATATTTTTAACAAAATTATTGGGCGAAAAAATTACTTTAATTAATTTTTATAAGAATTTTCATAACATAAATTATCAAGTGAAAACTCGGATCCAAATAACACATGTCCAAAACGTCTAAATACCTAAAGATAACATAAAATAATATATATAAGTTATTTTAACATTAAAAAAAAGAAGATATTTCATTTAACAATTTTTTCTGTTAATAACTTCTTAAAACATCTTTCATTTAAACGCGTCGAGTTTCTTGTTTTAACTCAAAATAATTTATTAGTTTCCGTACCTCTAACCTCTAAGCCTGTGTTAACATTCAAATAAGTGAAAAATTCATTGAATTGTTTTTAAATTGTTAAGCTGCTCTACCTCAGTGGTGGATTAAGACTACTTGGGGCCCGGGGCTATTTTTGTTTTTGGAGGTCTTTTTATGGGCCAAGCCAAAGACAAGCTTCAACTATAAAAACATCAATATTTTTAATATTTCAAAAACTTGTTTTTTATTCAAGTTAAAAAATATAGGATGGAGTACGTAAACACCAAAAATAATTTGTAGTACTGTAAAATCGCCTTAGTTTGGTCACATGCAACTTTGGTCATTTAACAATAGATAACAAAGGGCGTATTTCAATTTTTATAAACTTTTTTTTTTTTCAATAATATTTTTTGACACTTTTTTAATTTAAATTTACCTTCCCAAGGCCATGAAGGCCACTACAGTTGAGAAGACTACTTTTAGTTGTGGTTACAACCCTCTCTCTCAACTCTATAACTGCGAAACACGAATCTTGATGAAGAAGGCCGCTGCGCGGAGAAACAAGTTGATAAGCTTTGTGGATAAGAATCATAAAAAATAAATGATAATGTTTATTTGAAATCTGCTAAAATAATTTGTTTGAAAAACAAGAGTTTTGAAATTATGCGTACGATCGAAATCTAAAATAAGCAAAGCGTTGAATAAAATGATCAAATTTAGTGCAAGTATTATTAAGAGTCACCAAGCTAACAAAGTTTGAAAAAAAATAGTTTTAAATATTAAGCACTACTTTTCTACAAAACCAGTGAAATTTTAAAATATAATTTCCGGTCACAAACAGCGCGTCACTAAACGATAAAAACAACAAAAAGCGGCAGAGTTGACTGATTTAAATTACGTAGATTTCAATTAGTGATTTAAATCAAGATATGAATCAAAAGATTTTCTTGAATGACTAATAATTTAAATCAAATTTTTCTTTCATGTTTTATTTTGATAAAAAATGAAAGAAAAATAATTATTTTCATTAAATAATTATTTAAAAACAAATTATTTAAAAACTTTTTTCTGTCATATTTTAAAACAAAATGAAATACATATACCAGATACGCTATATTTACATTTAGAGCATCTTTTATTTTACCTTGTTCTTTATTAAACACGATTGGTTGGAGTTTGTCAGCTACGTTCTTTCTTGTTAGACCACTATAGCCTGGTTTCAACATCAACATTAGTTCTTGGAATTCTTGATGCGTAATTAACTGAAATAATGAAATAGTTGCAAAAATCATTCTTGCAATCTGCTCATCAAGTGCGACCTTTTGACTCTGACTTATTCTAACAACACGCGACAAAAACACAAAACTAGCATTTTTATTTAACTAACCATTATTATTTAATTTTTTTTTTGTCTGTTTTTTTCTTTGCAGATACATTTAAATTAAATTTCTGTGCAGAAGCTGATAATTTATTTATTTTCTGATTTTTTTGCATTTAAAAATAAGAAATACAAAAAGATGATACAGCTAACATCAAAACTACTCTTATGTAACACCGAAAAAAAAGACAACAAGTTAAAATAGTGTGCTATGGTGCTGAACCTTGTACTTTTTAAACTTAATTTGAACAAAAAATATAATCAGGTAGAGAATCCTATATCTTGATAATTTGTTCATAGTAGAAAACTCTTCGTTATCATTTTTACATTTAATACGTGAATAAAGCTTTTTGGCATCTCGTAGGATTGTAAGAAGGAGCAAATTTTTCAAAAAAAAATTCAGAAAAAGGTCGATCGTCTAGGTTGTGCATAATTTTATAGATTATTATAGAGTCAACTTTTATTCTACGGCATTTAAGAGATTCTAGATTAAAGATTCTTGAAGATTCTTAAAGAGTCTTGAAGAATAATCTTTTTTTTAAAAAAAATCTTTGCTTCATACAAAGCTGCAATCAACCACTAATTAGAGTTGGAAGTTACTGAAAGAGAAAAGATAAAGATTGTAGAGCAAGATAACGATTGACAGACGACTTAAAAGATTGCAAATTATATGAATCGGGAAAGCAAGATGAAAGAAGCGAATTCCAAAGATATGATTTTGAGGAAAAAACTAGACGAATAAGAGTTTTTGGAGCACTTAGAAATAGCCACAGAAAAAGGTTGAGACGTAATTGAATGACGAGTAACATGAGAATGAGTTTTAGTAGATGACACAAGAGACGCTAGCTTTTTAGAGCAGTGCCCGTAATAGTATTTGCAAAAAAGAGAAAGAAATACGGCGATGTGATAATTGTTGAAGGTTGACTGCAAGAGCAGGTCCAACTATGTTTACATGCGTTTTTGCACCTTGCCTAATGGGACGGTAGTTAGACAAATCAGATCGCTTTCCAGAATTTTTAAAAATAGGGTGCTTTCCAGCAGGCTGAAAAACAAGACTC